AAAATTAATTAATAGTATAAAAAATCATATTACTACTTTAATAAAAGCTGAAAATATTTATGTCAAATTATAAGTAACTTATTATTACTTTAAAAGTTTCAAATTTTATATTAATACCTTACATTTGAAAAAAATCTGTTAATTTTTTTTGTTATTTTTCCTCAAATACATTTGAATAAATACATCGTGAAAGACTTTGCAATGTTAACAAGTCTTGATTCTGAACAAACTTTATAGGATCTTGTTGTTCTACACATTGTAAAAGTAATTTGTACTGTTCAAAAGCTACAGAATAAGAAATTTTCTCAATTTTAATACTACTATCTTCATTACTATTGGAATCAGATATTTGAAAAATTTCTTCTATAATTGCTTTTTTATTGGTAACTACTTCTTCTGTCATAATATTATCATCGATATGAATATATTCATTAGCTTCTATTATTTGCATATAATTAGAAGGAATATTAGAAATAAGTTGCTCAATATTATTTTCTGGTCTTATACTTTCATGTTTCTTATATTCGAATTTTTCAATCCAATTCCAATTAACCAATAGTATGATTTCAGTTTTATGCCAACAATTAATAATTGTTTGAGAAGTTACATTTTTCCATGCCTCACAAGTAAACTCAATTGCTTCTTCAATATTAAGGCGGGGTATTTTATTTTTGTTATCCATGGCTTTTAAAACACTTTGAAGATATAACTTTTAATAATGTGCTTTAAATGAGTTAATTATTCCAGTATCACATGGTTGTAAATAGGAAGTAGTATTGGGTGGTAGAAAATAAACTTTTACATATTCTAATTCCTTATCGATTATATGAGAAGAAGCATTGTTAATTAAAAGAAGAATTTTTTTTTGCTAAATACGATTAATAGTATTTAGAAACTTTATCCAACGTCCAAAAATCTTGCTTGTCATCCATGCTTTCTTGTTGGCTTCATATTTGGCACCAAGATTTTCTTTTCGAATATTTTTGAAACACCAAGGATTTGCTGACTTTCCGATAACTAATAGTTTAAGTTTGTCTGTATCAATAGCATTGATACAAAGCATAACAGTTATCCACTTTTTATTCTTTTTTTTTCCTTTGACTGGTTTGATTGCAAGAGTTTGATTAGGCATCATCTGAAAAAAAAGACCAGTTTCATCAGCATTGTAAACATTCTTGGGTTGATATTGTGAGAGCAATTCAATCAATTTTTGTTTTTGATTGGGAAAATTTTCAACTGATACACTTTCAGATTTATCATGAATTTTAAATTATCAAATATCATGTCATTTCTTAAACCTATCAATCCATCCATTGCTTGCCTTGAAGTCTGTTTCAGATATATTTAACAATTTAGCAAATTTTTTTGCTTGAAGTTGTAAAAGTCCATCTATTAATATTAAATTTTGTAAAAAAATCTGACAGGTCCAAAGGCTCAGAGCATTTTCTAATTGGACAAACTTCACTGGTCTATTAACCATTGCTTTTGCTTTATAATTCGTAAATTCTTTAGATAACCACTCTTGCTTATTTTTCAAAACCTTTGATATTGTACTTCTGTCACAACCATATTCTTTTCCAAGTTCATCAAGAGTAAGGGATGGATTGGCTTCTTTTCGTTAACATATTTCTTACTTCGACTTCATAGTTAAGTGCATTCGTTTTTTTCGTAACCGTTCCAATTCTTTATTCATTATTGTGTTCTCTTGAAACATCAACCGAATCAATTTGAGTAGGTGAATCAATTGGGTATTGTAACAGTCAAATGGCAAGTCTGTCTCTAAAGTTAGCAGAGATTCGCGTAACCATTAAAGAGATAAGTAGACTTAAGGTGATTTTAGGCATGTTTATTTGACCGAGTCTTTTATTAATTTTCTTCTCACTTCCTCTTCTCTTCTATCCTACTTTTACATGTCATTTATACTTTCTTTTATATTTGGCTATGGTGGCTGAAATATAAAACAATAGGTGTAATTCTATGGCAAGGCCAAAACTAGATTACATAATTCTTTTTCACAATTCCTCTTTTATTACCTAATTATTACTTTGCCGACTCACCATTTATACAACAATCGGTCACATGACGAAAGTCATATTCCAAAAATTCCCATATGTATACCACGCATAAAGATATTGCGTTGCAAGATAATACAAGTGCTAATGGGTCGTTCTTTCATTTCTGTCTTCTCTTCCCATCTGTGCATCTGTTCATTCAAATCACGGCATGGCTTGATACGGTAAGCACTATGTCATCAAAATCGTCCAAACCTTAGTTTTCGGTGTACTAATCTGCGTTTTTTCTTCTTTTTTTCTCCTGGTGGCCTTACGATGAGGCATTGGTGCAGTGATATTGATTGGGCATACTCGTTTGGGATATTCATCCAGATTTCTTTGGACGGAATCTTCATCAGGTATGTCATTTTAGTCTTATTACTCCTCTCCCTTTCCTTATTTAGCCAGTTCTCTGCTATCTTTATCTCTTCGTATTGATCATTACTTTGCCCGTCTTCTTCTTTGTCGTGCTTGACCTTCGTGTTCTGTACGAATTCATCTTCTCCTCCTTGGTCACGATCATCTGTGATGATTGGTCATTTCCCTATAATGAGCTTTATTTCCTCCACGTCTCCTAACTGCTTGTGGTATTTATCTGGAGTTCTCTTATGCTTTCTCAAGGTACGTCATTGCAGCTGGTCTTCCAGTCGTCTTTTTCTTTCACCGAGGTTTTTATTGTTTTGTCCAGGATTTGTTGCTAACTCGTCTCCTTCGTTTTTCGTTTCGGTCCTATGGCTGCTTCTCATAAAGTTTTTGGGTATCGTGATTCTTACATCCTCGTATGACATTTTATTATATGGGTTCAGGCTGTCATGAGTAACCAATAACTTATCGTAGATTAGCACTTGACCTTTGTCCAATTCATCATTCACCAAGACAGCTTCACCATCTTTCTCCATGTAGTCAACTTTCTTTTGCGGCTCAGGACACATCTTCTCATCAAGGTTCCTTTCCGCTATTGTCATCACCGGCGAGTCTGTTACTAAAACGGCTTACTCTTTGCGTGACGATAATCTGAATACTTGGATTATGGCACTAAAATAAGGTAAGTATTTAACTCTGAGGCTGTTACAATTTGGCCAACTTTAATACACTTGCTAATTTCTTCTAGACCATCTTTTCCTAGGCACGTCTCAAGATTACAAGTGTTCCTCTTCACGGTGCAAAAGGTAACAGTACTTCTTTCTCTTAAAGGCATTTACTTTACTGTAATGGCATGGACTTAGTTTAGACTTTAACAAATGTAAGGTTGTTTATTGTGCAAAGTCAAATAGCATTTATTTACTAAAGCACAAGTATGCAAAAACAGAGAAGTGTTCTAAAACGAAACTCTCAAATCTCCGATTTAGAACTAAAAACGTGTCTTATCTCACACTACATATATTATCCTATTTATATGCCTTGTAGATACGTCTATTCCATTACATGTTATTATCAATTATTATATCATTCTTCTATCAATGTTACTATTATTAAGCGACGCAATACAATATCACGTTACCATTCCTATTGTTCCCACAACACCGCCTTACCTGTTGACATGTCTTCAGGTCAGCTCCTCGCTATCTTCGGACAATGCTTCTTTTCTAGGTCTTGCGCTAATCCTGTAACTTCTTTCGATTCGCTCACATTTTCCCTTACACCATCTTTTTCCTTAGTCAGCATCCTGGCATCTTCATTTATCAGGTTTTACCATTTATATAACAATTGATTATGTGACGAAAGTCACGTTCCAATTTACCCTGTTACAGTATAATGAAAAGAAAAGAGAGAAGAAAGCTGAAAAATCAAAGCAAATTCTGCCTGTCGTTTAGTTTCAATTATAGTATTTTGCTCAAAAAGAAATAATATACAGATAATTTGTTATACAAAATAAAAAAAACATGTGACAATGCATATTATTGTATATTAAGATTGATATTAACGGGGTACATATAATTAAGAGTGTAATAAGTAATTATGTTGATATTGATATTAACGGGATATAATATTAAAATTGATATATGTGGAAAAATTTTCATAAGGGAAAATCTGTTCTATAACAAATGTTGATAATAGAGGGATGTTGATATTAGTGAGGTTGATATTAGAGAGGGTAGACTGTATTTGAAATTATAAAAAACAAGTTTATTTAATATAATATTTTATTGGAATTTTTTAATTTTAAAAACTTTATAAAAAATTAATAATAAAAAATTAACAAATTTATTTAATTAAAATAAATATATTAAATGATTTATTTAAAAAATAAAAAATAAAACAATCTTAATAATCTACTGTAGTAATGAACTGTAAGCAATGATTTTTAGAATTAAATCACATAAGCAAGTAAATTATAAAGAAAACAATTTTCTTTATTTTCAAGATCATGCCTAATCAAAAACAGATATTCAAAACAACAAAATAATTTATGCAATACAATATACCATATATTATTTATTTTCTATAAAGATTTATTTTTTTTTTTAATGTTAGAGTGAGGTATTACTCATGATCTTTATTAATAGAGTAAAAGTTTAACTTGTTATATAATTAATATTAAGATATGAATTATATCACTATAGATATTAACCTACCACTCATTAAACAAATATATTATCTGAAAAACCCTTGAGCAGGGAAAACCTGAGGAACTATTTGTTGTGAAAAATAAAAAATAAAAAAACATTTGGAGCAAGATTGCCAGCATTGTAAAACATTTGGATAAAAAGAAAAAGAAGGAAAAAATTGAAGCTTTTGTTAAATGTGGTTATATTATTTATTTTTTATAAAGATTTAATAAACAGTATATACTTGTTTGACTATAGAAAAAAAAACAATCTTATTAATCTGTTTTATATATTGTTGGCCTGAAAAATGGCAAATCAGTCATCTCACCAGTCCAATGTTCACATAACTAAGGTAAGTCAAGGTGCGTAAGATTGATTTAGCCAGGACTTTAACAAGCTTTTTTCTTCTTTCCCGACACTAGCTCTTCTCTTGATAATCCCAGACTATGTCCTATAGTGGTGATTATCCTTCCTTGTATGGTGTATACTGGAAAAGGAAGTTGTTAATTACAATATTCCTTATTTGGCATTTCAATTTTACTAGTCGCTGTATTTATTAATCATACTATTGTTTATTTCTCTATCTTAACTATCTCTTTTTTTTTTCAACTACTTCTATCCTACTGTTTGCTTTACAATCGTATGGCTATTTATATCATTGCTACTATTATTAAAAACAATTAAGAGAAAATAGACTATCGGGGCTAAAACAAACTATGTGTAAGTTATGTAAGCTTCGATGACTACATTTCCTATACTAATTATTAATGATACTTCCCATTTCCAGGATACGCAATGCGATAGTCACAGTATGCAACTATACCATGTGACTTTTATAAGGCTAACAATATATATATTGTCATATATCGTTTCTACCTCAGGAGAAAGATAAAGACGGAGAACTAATAGCAGAGAGGCACTTTAGATGGACAGGACCAATGTGGTATGCTAAAGTTCCTAAAGGCGTACAAATTAGTACAGTTCTGAGGT